CACAGCAAACACAACTACACATGTACTTTGATTTGCAATTTTTGAACGATGGAATATGAGAAATCATAGCTACAACCGATCATTTTAGTTGATAGTCGCAGTAATGTATACGTGAGAAATGGCATCTTAGAGAGATTATCATCTTACAATCAAGCGGATAAGGTGTAATGTAAACAAACCGGAGCTATAAAAGGCGGTGAAAAGTATGTCTACTTAATTCATAGCTCAGCACTCAGCCGAGAAGGTAGGTCAATATGGACAAGCAACTTTCAAACGAACTCAGGTGCCATGGACTACTCCCACGTGAAGACATCAAGGTGAGTGCCGTATTTGAGGGTTGTGAATAGTAGTTTAGTGATGTACCACAATACATAGTGGATCAGTCGTCGGTTTGAACCCGTACTTCGAGCCTATCTTGCCTTAAGTCTTTGCTGAGTAGACAAAATCATATCTGATTTGTCTGAAATTGAAAAGCACTGATTTGGGACAGTGTTAAGCCTCTGAAAGTCACTGTACAGGTCAACTGAATAATAACTGAAGGACATGCTTGATGAATGTTTTTAGACGATATCGCGTAGAAATGGTGGCTTATTTGCACGAATAACTGAACCTGTATCTGGAAAACCACCTGCATCCGTGTTATCCGTCATGGTCAAACAGGAATTTGAAAATCAAGGAGTATGTTACCGTTTAATTTTGGCGCAAATTAGGTCGTATCGGGCATATCATCACATCATGTCATACATGTCATATCATTATCATCGTACCACCATATCATATCATATCATATCATCATCACGTCATATCGGTCGTATCATGCCGACAATACCACACCAATAAATCTTACAAGAAAAAATTAAATATGAGAAGATCGGATCACGTAATTAGGCCCTCGTCATTTGGCGGCGCACTGATTACTTAAGGAGAAGTTTGAAAGATTTTGAGGTAAGTGATAAAAGGATGAATATGTCGTCAGCATATATCCGAAGCCCTTGAGACTACACAAAAGAAATGAGATAGGAATATTGTAAAGAAACCAAATACCCGAAAACCTCTTTGTTATAGATGTAGCGCTATAGAAACAACCATAAACTGAGCTGTGACTATTTTGCATATTATATTACGGCGATATTAATTAAGAATCTTACACGGATGAAGTCAAACACGAGAATGTTAATCACCGCAGCTTAAGTGAGTGGCTGACTAGAAAACCTCAAACAAGCGAATTCGAGATGATTTCGCCCTTTGTTCCTTTTAATATTCTGGGCACTGCAGTTTCCATTTGGGGTATCGATTCTGAGATTGTTGGCGATAGAGAAGGAGTGCTTCAAACAATGACGAAAACGGGAATGTTTACAGATCAAGCACCTCGTCATAACAGTTCTCCCATGCGCTAAAGGAATGATTCAGAAATACGTATTTGATTCGGTTAGCGCCATGAATGAATACCGTCTAAATGAAAAGGAATCTATAATAGAGGTATGTTTAATCTAACCAAATCCTGAAAAGGCTTTGATGAACCGTCCGTCAAGAATAGACTAACTCCTAAAACTGATGCGATTCTCGTTGGTATTAAGCATTTCGGTCCATTGATCGCACAATGACTGCCTCTAAACTAAAAAGTGCATGATTTTGATTTAGTGAACTAGCTCGACGCGTTTTGCTATCCTGCTTCGAGTGGTCCTGGCGCGACTTCAACTGACTGATATAGATAGACCTTCTAGAGTAAGCCAGAACCATCCAGTGCAGTAGCCTCTTTATCGCCGATATTATATTGTGTTCATGGACGACCTTTTGCACAGCGCTTTGCTTGGTGAACAACCCTGACCTTAACTTTAGTGCAAGCTTCGAAAACACACTTTTATTGATAGAATCCCGTCATCCACTAATAATTCACAACGATATCGCATGACTGCTCGACCCTCAGCTGACATCGGCGCTTTTTTACGAAAAGTGCCGTATTGAAAATTCGAGCTTCTTGTTCCGTCGAGCGAAATGAAATCACATATTTCCCGGCCACAATCATTCCTTAGGTGAGCGGCCTCGAAATCCAGCTTGACTTTATTTTAAAAGCATAAATGAGTGTTGGAGACGAGGACTTTTCGTCGAACTGATAAACCACTTGGTCCGTCTTAAAAAACAAGGCATTTGACAAAGATGCTTTTCAGGCAGACCAGTAAAATTTTACAATTTCCTTACGGATGGATTACATCTTAGCTTAATATATTGAGTGAACTGTAGGTATTGCACTGTAAAGGAAAATAAATTGGAAGAAAAAAAATCTAATTTTGAGAACTCGAGAGGAAGAGATTGAAAGAAAGAAATGTTATCACTTGTAAGTTATTCCACACCCAAAATGTTACTTTGCCACAGTTTTCAGGTTAACCATGGTGCATTAAACTCACACCTCCAAAAAAATGAACAAGCCATGGACAAGAAGAATATAATAGTTTCGCAAGCAACAATAGCAACCACAAAGGCATTAATCTTTTTCTGTATTTTAACACTTCAGGCAGCTGGCAAATTAGAATATTTACATGCCAAGAATGTTCTTAATAGGGATATTGCTGTAAAGAATTGTTTATATGGAGACAATAAGGTAGCTTCTGGATTCTAAACTTGCCAAGCTAATGAAATCTTAAGAAACGGTAGTGTTAGTTCGCTATGGATTTATACTGTTACAGGTGAAAATCTCAGATTTTGGTCTTACTCGGGAGGGAGCTGTTCATCGCATGGATCCACTTAAGAGAGTTCACATTAGATGGCTTGCACCGGAAGCGCTAAATATAGCCATCTACACCGAGAAAACGGACATGTTCAGCTACGGTAGACTATACACTATCGCTTTCTACTTATAACAGTGGTTTTTATGTGCATTTCAAGGAATTATATGCTGGGAGATTTACAACAGTGGCATAGAACCATATCCAGGAAAGACAGTGGCAAAAGTTCATGAAAGTGTAAATGCTCTTGAGTCTCATTCCTATTAAAGTCACCTCTAATCATCCATTAATTCTTACTCAGTGTAGCTCAGAAGCAGAGTGTTCAAGCATTGCTTTGTAAGTGATATTTTTCCGACTTCTCAGTTTCTTATGCCGTGCTTTATAGGTTAAAGAAGGTTATCGAAATTACCGTCAAATGTTCATCCGGATATTCAACTGTACATCAGGATGACAAGTCGTGTTATATGCTTTATTAATGTCTTCAAGGGCAAATATCTACTCAAAAAGTAAAGCTTCATCGTAAAAGATCAAAAGTTGTTCGATAAAGAAGAATTTCATGACGTCTTGTCATAAGTTCGCTGTTGGTCGGAAAATCCAAATGGTCGATATACTATGGCCGAACTGGCAGAACACCTACAAAAAACTCTACAAATTTCAAGGCCAAAGTTCGTGTAGCATCCAGCCTACCGCATGTGATGTCGAATAAAAGCACAAAAATCTGTGCTCTGTTAAGTTAATAAAAATTTCTTTCATGAGGAAAGTAATGAGAACATCATGAAACAAGACTCGGAATTCTTGTTCATCACTGAGTTCAGTAGGAACAATAGGCGATTTCGAGTGGAATTTATACCTAGCAATTATAAGTGAACATATTTCTGCTATAGGAGAATTCACTAGGCCCGAATTCCGTGAAAGCAGTTTCGTGGATGTTTGATTTTAGGCATCTCAATCAGTAGTGGTGTAATAAGTAGCCACAGCCGCTCTGAATGTTTTAGTAATGTTTGTTATACAACACTGTGCAAAAATTAGGTCTAAACTGGTATCAGATTTGCCTGTGAAAATAAGCAGCACTGACTTGATATATCAGTAGGCTACCTCGAGTAATTGTAAATGCCACATATGCATTCGTTCACCTCATATGAAGTTGAAAATTGATGGTCAATACATGGCTCATCCCTCAAAAGTTTATCAGCGCCGAGGGCTTCCTGGCTCCATTATCCGTACCTTTTCTGCAGAACTCGTTGTAGAAATTCATTTCAAAATAGTCTTTAGATTCATCACATTTGTAGAACACGAGCATTATTGTGCAGGGTATTTCTACGAAAAAAAATACGTATTCCTTATCCATATTTGACATGCTGATCATGTTAACGTTACACTCAGAATATTCATTCAACCAACAGTCTATACAATTAGCACCGAACAACAACAATATGATGGGTTGAACAGAGAGTACCGGGAGTTTTTTGAAAGTCCCATTTTTGACATTCTTGTGCCGTTTTTTATTGCTAGTTTTGCGCAAACTTTTCTGCTTCATTAATTTCCGCTCCAAAATGCCAATTGAACGTGTGATTTTCGCGTCTTGATCTACCATTATTGGAAAAACGTTTAACGAAAAACAATTCTTAGAGCCATCTACGAAACTGGTGAGAGTGAGATTTTGGTAGGGTAACAAAATCAACGTGGGAAGACGGTTTAAGCGATGCAAGGAAGGAAATTTTAATCTCAACGATATACCTCGTTCTGGCTGACCATCTGTTTTTGATAATAATGGCTTGCAGGCCGCTTTGGGTGGTGAGCTTCATTGACCACTCGTGATTTTCGCTGAGGAGCTTGGTGCTTCGCAGCGGAAGTGTACTTCAAGCAGATCTGGAGTCATGCAGAGCAATAGCAAACAGTAGTGATATATGCTTTGTTAAATAATCAATGATACTCTTGTTGTTAATTTACGCATAAAACGAACTTTCAAAAACTTTCCAGAACTCATAAATTCTGATGTTTTCACTGCGTTTTCACAGTGGTACGATGTTTACAGTACACCTTAGAGAATCGAGTAGTGGGCCTTCAAAAAAAAAAAAAAAACGTGACTTCAGGCAGGAATCGGACTTGCATTTCATCAATGACAAGGGAGCGTGCTACCATTTCACCACAGTGGCACATTTGCACCATCACTCATTCTTTAACATCTCTATGATAGCTATCAGCCGCCAACCTTGACAGGCTTGGTCGGGTATGCAATTTTGCTCAATAAATTTGAATGAGTGGTGGCGCAAGTGTGCCTTGATGGTGCAGTGGTAGCGCGCGTCCCCGGTATGGATGAAACCCAAGTTCGACTCTCGTTTGAGGTCACATTTTTGCTCACCACTCAATTCTCTTAAGCGTATTAAAAACTTTCCAGAAATTCTTGTCGTTTAGCCCTAGCTTTTCATTAGTACTGGTCGACATTTCTCTTGTCTTCCATATATTTGTAATCTTTTATATTCAGTCAACGGTTAGCACGCTCTAAAACATATAATTTTATGGATCGCTATTTGTAGAAATATATGAAATAGAGTTCATATTTATAGTATACGATTCGGGAGCGCCGTGGCTGAGTGGTTGTAACTCACTTTGCGGAAACCCCGTCTCCAGCATTCTCCAACACTCAACAACGAATGTCCCATTGAACGCCACAGCCAGGCTATCCTCGCGATTGCAAGATTTGTTTAACCAGTATTCCACGGCGTCCAAGAAGAAGGCGAAAACCGAATTGAATGCTAGAAATACTGGGATCCGCACAGTGAAAAACACCACTGTGAAGACGGATCAATAAAGTACCAAAAGTATACCATTCTCAAATCAAATATCTTTCATCATCGCACCTAACAAACCACTTCACAGCACCATTTTAGAGAGAATGTGCAAACTAATTTTGAATATTACTGTTGCTTCAAATATTCTTGCGAGTATTGAGTGGTAGGCAAAAATTTGATCGAAGACGGGAGTTGAATCGCGTTTCATTCTACCAGAGACGCGTGCTACCAGTAACCACCGAGGTCACTGCTTTCTCACCACTCATTCTCCAATATTTTCCTATCATAGCTATCAACCACCAACCATTAATGGGTTTGGTCGGGCAAGCAATATCACTTTATGAACTTAGTTAATCTGACAGCCATTGTACTTATACAATTTCGACATTTCTTATGTTTTACCATTTTTCGAGTGTTATAATGTCTATAATATTCTTAACAGAAGTGAGTGGCAAGCAAAGTTTTGACCTCAGACGCGAGTTGGACAAGCGTTCCATTTATGTAATACATTGTCTGATAACCGGGTTCATAAAGCGACACTACTTAACCGACCAAACCTATTATTGGGTGGGAAGCCGATAGCTATGATAGAAAGATGTTGAAAAATGAGCGGTGAGTAAGCGGCGGACCTAGTAGTGTAGTGGTAGCATGAGTCTCCGGTACGTATGAAACGTTCACCTCCCTTCGAGGTCGTATTTTTGCTCACCACTCAATTCCCTTGGGAATATTTGGAACATTGTAACGTTGCGAAAAAGCAGTGAAAACGTAACAAATTTGAAAAAAAATTATATTAGTATTGTTAAAAATCTTTTTTTTTCTCAAATTATTTATCACCCAAGCTTCTTCTTACACCATCTACGTCTGCAGCTTTACAGTATTTCGCAAGGAATTTACCTATATTGCAATATCGAACTCCCCCATATTTTGTAGCAAATGTGGAGTCACAATGATTTATGGACTTAATAGTTTAGACATTTACGCAATGTCGATTCATAAGACTTTCATTTTATGAGAGGATTTTTTCAGTTCCGTACACCTGACCTGTGGTTAGTCATCTGTGATACAATGAATTAACGAGAAGCTTGCACTATCTACTAATTCTCCCCGAGTACGATTGTCCGTCTCTTCGTGCTTAAAACCTCGATGATTAATTCGAATTCAACAATCTCAAATGAATCATGCACAAGAGAAATCACCCACAATGGTTTTGGTGGAGGGTTATATTCATTGTAGACAGCTTGCGAAGCGCGAAGTCTCCAATGGGCCGATATACTTCCGAAACCACGTTCACGTAGTCATAACGAAGTTAGTTGGAAGGTTGGTGGGCAAAGTCGAAAAGGTTGTCTTTTGGTTAATGATTTAATTTGGAAAATTTGTGAAGCACCCGAAGTAATGTCAATCTTCAGTGACTTGAGTCGTTACGATAAATAATGTTTGTGGCACAAAAAGTGAAGAGTAAAAATATTGATTATTTTTAGAACGCTTGAACAAACTATGATCTGTATTTATATAAAGACCTGGAACTCTTGAAGTACACAAATAATCAGATAATTTATATTTGCCAAACACTTAGAAACCGGCCCATGTATGTGGTCTGCCATGCGCACTTATACACTGCAATACACAATGTTTCGGCCTTGCAGTCTCGTTAGTCTCAGAGCCTTTTAGTTCAGCATACCACTTGTTTCGAGTGCTTCTTGAACCAAGCTCAAGTTTTGACATATCTCATGATTATTATTTAAGCCAACCTGTCATGTGGTCTGTTAACACGTTGGGAACCATATGTGTCATATTGACCCACGATTCGTGTCGTCGCGTACCAGAGTTTTATATGACGCAAGCATAAAAAGTGGAAGTTGAGAGGATATTACTTGGTTAATTGAGTTTCCAAGAGATCACTATTACTATTCAGTGGTAAAATGCCACTATAGACAATCCTGTAAAGATTTTTATGCGTTTTTTGATTGAAACAACGTCATTTGTGGAGAATTAAACTGTTTTTCAACAAAAGAAACCACACCTTTCCAGAAACGAATACATTTCCAACAGTTATTTAACATTTGTTTCTTTTTTCTCTATGTTTTTATAACCGTTCGATAGCTTGAAAAATGCCGATTCTTACGGTATGCTTGGTTTGCGATTCCGCCTTCATATTAGGGTTTTCCTAACCAAAAAAATAAAAGGTTCTGCAATCTTAGTCCATTTTTGGGATTCACAGCAGAAATTTTGATGCTTGTAATGATATTCTAGACTAAGTTAGATGCAGTATTACTGGATGGACACAGGAAAATGTATTTTCAACAGAAAGGCCGCATAGATCTTTTAAAAAAGTCCACTATTATCTGTGAATTGAGAGGAATGTAGTCGCATCGTGTGAAATGTGTTCGTAATTTCCTTCCCTTTTCACTCAGCAGAGGTTCTTCATTAGATTATTAGTAATCAATCACAGCTTGAAAACTGGGAAATTAAGTACTGAACTCACTTTATGAACAGACTTCCATAGCAAGCTTTATTAACAAAAAAATGACTTTGTGCTCAAGAGCGCATGTGGCGCAGTGGTTACGGGTGTTTTGCATCGCACACGAGGCTATTGGTTTTATCTCGCGCTCATGCCTCACCGAGCCTTCCATCCTTTTGGATCGGTAAATTTGTTAGCATCTTGTCTGGAAGCATAATTAGCTTTAGGTCAATCTATCAGTAGGCCACCGCGAGTCATTGTACAGGGCAGATATGCATCAAATCACCTCAAGCGAGAATATAATTTGCAGACGACTGCATGGCGCACCCCTTGAAGATTCTTCGACGCAAAGACCTTTATTTTTCTAATTTTTTGCTCTAGGAGTGTGTTGTTTCAACTCCACCCACGAGTTTTCTTCAATCTTGCGAAATAGATTTTGTATTCTAGGCATACTTCATCGCCACAAAAAAATTCAAATTTGCTGGAGAGAGTTCTGTAAGCGAATTTTCTCTGATGAATGCTCATATCCCAAAACTCCTCTTTTCAAAAAGGTGCATACCTAGAAAGGTAAAGCTTTTTAGCTGGTTTTTTTTTCTCTTTGTTTCGAAGACTCTGCAGACGTAGATCTTTTAAGCCCCTTCTCTGCATTTACGTCACTAAATTTTCCCATTTCCTTTATGTCGTGAATATTTTGTTGAAAATATTTATCGAACGGTCAAAAACTTGGGCAATCACATTGATCAAAAGCGTACTAAAAGCTCTTCACTCAGAACAGCACTAGTCTATAGTCTTTTTCGATCCAGCTCTCAGTTCCGACGCTCCAACCTCGAAAAGGCTCTGAAAATTCATACAAGCTACACTGAGTGTTCAAAACGATGTTCAAAAAGTCGATAAGATGGAAATCTCTGATCTCTGACTGAACAAAATGTCCAATAATGGGCTCTTCTACAGCCCCATACACGTGTTTCGACCTCGAGCAGCCTTGTCAGTCGGGCCGGCCCTTCGTCATCAGCCAGTCTCTCAGGGTGTTTCAGTCCCCCTACTTAAAAGCAATCGAGCGCAAAACAGTGCCGATCTAGTGATTTTTTCACTTGACGACAACTGTGTAAATCGTTCGTCGTCGCCTTCTCTAAGTAGGGGGGGGGGGGAGAGGGGGGCCAGAGCACCTCGAGAGGATTGGTTAAAAACGTTGGGTCTGCCCGATTGACGAGGCTGCTCAAGGCCGAAACACGTCTATCGAGCTGTACAAGAGCCCATTAACACATTGCGTTCCACGTTGATTTTGTGCGGGCGCGCGGCAAGACCGCGCAGCGAGACGACGAGCGCGGCTCGTTACGATGACACTGTGGTAGTTTCGCACTAAAATTTGGATTCTTATCGTCATCAAAGAGAGTTGAATCGTCAGTAAAAGAGAGAATATGATACAAGAGACTTCAATAAGACTATATTTGGTTGGAACATGTCAAAAAATCATAACAACAAATTGTTCTTCAAAAGTGATACTGCGCATTGTAATGCCATGCGATTTCAGCGATAATTCCGATAAAATTTTCGAATTTAGAAGAACCTGTCAATGGTTTATTCTGAAAAGCATATTTTTGGAAGAGAAACATCAGATGCTTACGAGAAAATCATAATTCGAATTTTTTTGGAACTATTTCATGCTTTCTTTTTTACATTTATCCACATTCATTCACGTTTATCATTTATTCCCTGTATCAAGAGCAATTCTTCTACTTATCACTACGAATAGGCGTCCGCAATCAGTCCCCAATATAATAGAGCTAAATTATAAATTATATAAACAGTATGTCCTTCCAAAAAAAAAATATTACGAGGTAAATCTTCCAATTTTGGTATAATCTCATGACATTTATACTATGATAGTAATCGCCCTTTGTTATAGATGGTGCACTCATTGCTGCCAGAAAGGTCAAACGAGGAAATCACCCAATAATTCAACGCCGCTCTCTTGAAATGCCACATTCCAATACAACAACCTATGTCAAAAAAAAGCAAGTTATATGTTTTCCAAACGTTTCACTTTTCACAGTACAATACCCTGTCTTGCGACGATAAGTTGCAGAGAAACTAATGCGATGAGATTCAACTTAAACATTTTTCAAAGTATAGAGCGATAAGTTCTCAACAACACGTCAGATTAAATTTCAATCTGTTATCTATCACGTAAAGGTATCGTGTAGTGTAGTGATCAGAGGCGCACTACGACGCACACTCAATCCCTGGATAGATCATGTATCGGGCAATAATTTCTTCTATTACTTTTGGGGGCAAGAGGGTGCTACATGACTTCTCTGAGAGTATAGAAGAATATACTCACCCTCTACTCAATGAAGACGATTGCGTAGCGCACTTCTAAAAGGTGATCGCTAGGTTCCTTTTTCTTCTAACAAATGGAAGATTTATATGTAGTAAAAGATCGGTATAGCCGTTGATTTAGAAAAAAGGCAACTTTCTTATACAATTCACTACTGTCGTCCACCTCGCGCTGTACTCGTGTGAAATCACGGAAATCTAGAACAGCGACAGTAACGTCGTTAACCAAGGTTTTGATTAAGTAAGGTGCAAAGAATCGTAACCACACGACAAAGTAATTTATTACAGTCCACAGTCCCACTCCTACTCACTCAGAAAATGCCTTCGAATCTGTCAGGACAGGGTTTAGAGATGCCTCGCTATACGCAGTCGATTTCCTATGAAACGCGTCAGAGGCATTACACTATCTATCCCTCTAGAGTCGTCAAATTCGCATTGTTTACCTGAAAACTAAAAGACATTGTTTAACTACATGGGTAAGCTGTGATAGATATCCTACATACCAAATATAATGTGGTTCTGGTGCATGCAGCGGTGAACTTTCCTTTACTTTGGACTTTTGAGAATAGTTTTCTCCGTTGTCTTTATCTCTACCAATAGAACTGTATTATGATACAAGTTGCTTTGTCGCAGGTTCACTGCTGATCAGAAAGTTCAAGTGATCGATATACAATGGAGGAGCTGTTGAAACACAGAGATCGGTTCAAGTCTTGAGACTATAGTTCATGGAGAAATCACACGACTGCATTGAAACCAAGTTGAATTATACATTGGTATTGCCTCGATCTAATAAATATGTATAGGAATAGAGTCTGAGTGCCGCAAAAGTGTTGTGAAGTGTTTTATGGGAACGTTAGCTCAGCTGAGAACATTGATTGATTATGAACGGCATTTCTGTCAATAAGATGCAAGCCAACATATTCCGTTAGCGCAGAACTCACGAGTAATGGGAGCGCCTATTTTTCTGAGAGTAAATTCAACTACACTTTGATATCTAGATTTAGATGTTTTTTCAATGAGCAGAGGCTGAATATCTTGGATGCGATCACACCGTCTTACTGCAGTAGTGATTGTTGATCAACGTTCCCTCAAGCATTTCTTTGAAGAGAATTTAGCTAGCTTCATTTTCAGTAAGAAGTGCTGGATAGGTGAGCTGTCATTTTTGAATTTTGACGCTCCCGTGGACATACTTTTTTGTAAATGTCACTTCGCCATGAATCCGATGGGCTCAGGAGAAAGGTTGCATCTTTGTCGGTTTGCAAAAATACGAAAGTTGATCTTCTAGAAATGATTATGGTCCTCACTTGACTAAATTCTACATCAATTCAATAGAAATGAGTCGGGACTGACTAGAATATATTTTATATTTATATTCTATAGATATCTACGAGAATTGAGTGGTGAGCAAAAATAGGTGGTGAATAGGTGTGAGCGCGTATACCTCTGGGGTGTACTGGTAGCTCGGTCGCCGGTATGAATGGAACGCGGGTGTAAGATCATAACACTGCGAAAAATGCAGTAAAAACACTTTGAATTTGGAGGAATACTTATCACAATGGCTCTCAGCTCAACTGAGATTATATAGCGAAATCGCTTACCCGACCAAATCTGTTAAAGGTTGATGGCTGACAGCTATCATAGAGATATTGAAGAATGAGTGGTGGTGCGGTTATATCTCTGTGGTGTAGTGATAGCACGCGCCCCCGGTATGGACGAAACGCGGGTTCGACTCCCGTCTTAGATCGTGTTTTTGCTCACCACTCAGTTCTCTTTGATATATATGAAACATCATAACACTGCGAAAAATGCAGTAAAAACGCTAGTAATTTTGAGTGTGACTACAATGTCTTCTTTTGCATCATACGCGCATCAAACTCTGTAGAGAGTGTTCTGTTCCATCCATACTCTTTCAAACCTTTTCAGCCTATTATATCTGTACCTATCTCTCCGAACTAGTAGTATTAATCTACGACGAAACAACTTTGATTCAATAATTTTAATAGCTCTTCGCTCAGCAGCGGATAGGTTGGGATCAAATGGATTTTAATAGCCGACTCTTCTTTGACCCACGACGCTGTCATTTCGTAGCATTTTCTTTGATGATCGAAGTAATATCACGAGATTGAGAATGCTTTATTCGGCTAATATTTCGACGCCTTCAGTTTCATTATGTGCGATGAATCGAGTTGATTGCCTACAATGGTTCGTCCTTATTGTGAATCCTTGTCATCGTTATAATTCGAGTCGAATGTTCTCCACTAAAAAACCATTTGACTGGAGTACCTTTTCAAAATGCCCTTTTACAAAGGATAACTATTATTGCAATTGCCCGTTGATATTGACTTCTTCTTCTTCGCAAAATGTATCTTACAGTTGTCGGTATCATTATCAGCTGACATAAAGAATAACTACATATCAAAAGGCGCATTTCCTCTAACCTGAGTGGAACTAGCGGTTGCGAAAATGACAAAGACGTCCGAGCGTCAGCTAAACAAAACTTTTTACAAACGTCGCAACTTTAGCAGAACAAACTTTTTTATCGATCTCAGGATATTCGGGTTAGTCATGAAAAATACTATAGATTGGTAATGCAAGATTCGTATGAATTTGTCTCGCTCGGTCTTTGCGCAGTCACAAGGGAAAATCTGAAAATTGGAAAATGAACCCTCGTTTGCAACGATAATATTATAATAAAATCGACATGACAACACCAAAGCAATCCAAAAAGCATGACGATAACAAAATTAGTAGACGAAAACATAATGATGAAGACAAATTTGTGACTGTGAAAGGCCCAATTGTAATAACGCTTCAATGAGGATAGAGCACATAGAAAGGAACGCGTGATGTTGTTATAGCTTGAACATTGAATAATTGTGCAGTGATATGGACATCCGCGCAAACAGTTTAAATATCAGTGTGATCACTGGATGCTCAAGGGAGAACACAGTTGCTTTAGCAACTGGAAATAGCATTCTGTAAGGTCACGAACTGTTGAGAAGCGGCATAAATAGCACAATACACGAGTGCACCAACGGACATTGATGGATTCAGGTGCAGGGCGATGATAACTAAATAAGTTGGTGAGACACTAACGATCTTCGAATTGTTCATCACGGGCATCTGAGACAACTGCTATATAAACCCTCAGAGAACGGCAGTTAAAACTCCTGCACTCGGCGCAAATCGCGCACGTTATGCGATTCGTTACAAAATTAGAGCTTTCTCGTCGTGTTGAAAAACTTCTACGCTTTTTTAGAAATCACTTTGATGCTTTATGCTCTCTCATACACTTACATATGCTTAGGGTGCTTGTATAACTTTTATGCGTGAGGGAAAAGCTCTGGTCTACTATACAATCATTCTGTGCTTGGTATTCATTCAATTGTAATAAGTTGTGCAAACGATATAACGATATGATCTCTTCAGACATACTTCTTTTCTATCATGCGCATTAGGGTGCCGTGGAATAGTAACTGTAATATTTGTCGCGGAGAGGGGCTGATCGCCCACCCTTGGCACTCTCGCCGGTAGTCAGCAAGAAAGCCAAGGAACGCTACAGCCAATCCGTAATCCAGGTTGCAAAGAGACATGCTCAACCAGTATTCAACGTCGATCAAGAAGTTAACGAAAACTGGGAGAATACTAGCCACTGGGATCCGCACAGTAAAATGTGATAGCGAGTCATGTAAAAAAATCTACACATCACCCAAAAGTGAACAAAAGTGAACGTACGTATAAGTGGGGGCGTGAGGCCACTGCTGAAGCGAGCGACCCCGCAAAAACGCGCGTATGGCTCTGAGATAGCAGTCTCGAAAAGCTCTGAAATTCTCACAGACTATATTGAATTTCCAAAGCGCAATTCGGAAACAGTCAATATGATGGATTTCTAGATATTCACTCGCTATCACATTTTACTGTGCGGATCCCAGTGGCTAGTATTCTCCCAGTTTTCGTTAACTTCTTGATCGACGTTGAATACTGGTTGAGCATGTCTCTTTGCAACCTGGATTACGGATTGGCTGTAGCGTTCCTTGGCTTTCTTGCTGACTACCGGCGAGAGTGCCAAGGGTGGGCGATCAGCCCCTCTCCGCGACAAATATTACAGTTACTATTCCACGGCACCCTAATGCGCATGATAGAAAAGAAGTATGTCTGAAGAGATCATATCGTTATATCGTTTGCACAACTTATTACAATTGAATGAATACCAAGCACAGAATGATTGTATAGTAGACCAGAGCTTTTCCCTCACGCATAAAAGTTATACAAGCACCCTAAGCATATGTAAGTGTATGAGAGAGCATAAAGCATCAAAGTGATTTCTAAAAAAGCGTAGAAGTTTTTCAACACGACGAGAAAGCTCTAATTTTGTAACGAATCGCATAACGTGCGCGATTTGCGCCGAGTGCAGGAGTTTTAACTGCCGTTCTCTGAGGGTTTATATAGCAGTTGTCTCAGATGCCCGTGATGAACAATTCGAAGATCGTTAGTGTCTCACCAACTTATTTAGTTATCATCGCCCTGCACCTGAATCCATCAATGTCCGTTGGTGCACTCGTGTATTGTGCTATTTATGCCGCTTCTCAACAGTTCGTGACCTTACAGAATGCTATTTCCAGTTGCTAAAGCAACTGTGTTCTCCCTTGAGCATCCAGTGATCACACTGATATTTAAACTGTTTGCGCGGATGTCCATATCACTGCACAATTATTCAATGTTCAAGCTATAACAACATCACGCGTTCCTTTCTATGTGCTCTATCCTCATTGAAGCGTTATTACAATTGGGCCTTTCACAGTCACAAATTTGTCTTCATCATTATGTTTTCGTCTACTAATTTTGTTATCGTCATGCTTTTTGGATTGCTTTGGTGTTGTCATGTCGATTTATTATAATATTATCGTTGCAAACGAGGGTTCATTTTCCAATTTTCAGATTTTCCCTTGTGACTGCGCAAAGACCGAGCGAGACAAATTCATACGAATCTTGCATTACCAATCTATAGTATTTTTCATGACTAACCCGAATATCCTGAGATCGATAAAAAAGTTTGTTCTGCTAAAGTTGCGACGTTTGTAAAAAGTTTTGTTTAGCTGACGCTCGGACGTCTTTGTCATTTTCGCAACCGCTAGTTCCACTCAGGTTAGAGGAAATGCGCCTTTTGATATGTAGTTATTCTTTATGTCAGCTGATAATGATACCGACAACTGTAAGATACATTTTGCGAAGAAGAAGAAGTCAATATCAACGGGCAATTGCAATAATAGTTATCCTTTGTAAAAGGGCATTTTGAAAAGGTACTCCAGTCAAATGGTTTTTTAGTGGAGAACATTCGACTCGAATTATAACGATGACAAGGATTCACAATAAGGACGAACCATTGTAGGCAATCAACTCGATTCATCGCACATAATGAAACTGAAGGCGTCGAAATATTAGCCGAATAAAGCATTCTCAATCTCGTGATATTACTTCGATCATCAAAGAAAATGCTACGAAATGACAGCGTCGTGGGTCAAAGAAGAGTCGGCTATTAAAATCCATTTGATCCCAACCTATCCGCTGCTGAGCGAAGAGCTATTAAAATTATTGAATCAAAGTTGTTTCGTCGTAGATTAATACTACTAGTTCGGAGAGATAGGTACAGATATAATAGGCTGAAAAGGTTTGAAAGAGTATGGATGGAACAGAACACTCTCTACAGAGTTTGATGCGCGTATGATGCAAAAGAAGACATTGTAGTCACACTCAAAATTACTAGCGTTTTTACTGCATTTTTCGCAGTGTTATGATGTTTCATATATATCAAAGAGAACTGAGTGGTGAGCAAAAACACGATCTAAGACGGGAGTCGAACCCGCGTTTCGTCCATACCGGGGGCGCGTGCTATCACTACACCACAGAGATATAACCGCACCACCACTCATTCTTCAATATCTCTATGATAGCTGTCAGCCATCAACCTTTAACAGATTTGGTCGGGTAAGCGATTTCGCTATATAATCTCAGTTGAGCTGAGAGCCATTGTGATAAGTATTCCTCCAAATTCAAAGTGTTTTTACTGCATTTTTCGCAGTGTTATGATCTTACACCCGCGTTCCATTCATACCGGCGACCGAGCTACCAGTACACCCCAGAGGTATACGCGCTCACACCTATTCACCACCTATTTTTGCTCACCACTCAATTCTCGTAGATATCTATAGAATATAAATATAAAATATATTCTAGTCAGTCCCGACTCATTTCTATTGAATTGATGTAGAATTTAGTCAAGTGAGGACCATAATCATTTCTAGAAGATCAACTTTCGTATTTTTGCAAACCGACAAAGATGCAACCTTTCTCCTGAGCCCATCGGATTCATGGCGAAGTGACATTTACAAAAAAGTATGTCCACGGGAGCGTCAAAATTCAAAAATGACAGCTCACCTATCCAGCACTTCTTACTGAAAATGAAGCTAGCTAAATTCTCTTCAAAGAAATGCTTGAGGGAACGTTGATCAACAATCACTACTGCAGTAAGACGGTGTGATCGCATCCAAGATATTCAGCCTCTGCTCATTGAAAAAACATCTAAATCTAGATATCAAAGTGTAGTTGAATTTACTCTCAGAAAAATAGGCGCTCCCATTACTCGTGAGTTCTGCGCTAACGGAATATGTTGGCTTGCATCTTATTGACAGAAATGCCGTTCATAATCAATCAATGTTCTCAGCTGAGCTAACGTTCCCATAAAAC